GCAGAAACGCTGCCGGGAGCCAAGGGCTGGCAGAGTTCGCAGATGGGAGGGCCTGCCGGCGGCTGGGACGTTGGAGGGGAAAGCTGAGCACATGATTTTGCACGTTCCTCCAACCCCTCCCGTATTTTCTTCCCCCTACTCTGCCAGCGGTTACTGAGCTGTAAGGATTTCATCAGCCCTGCGTGGAGAGCAATGCGTGGCACTCTCGGGCACAGAGCACAGCTGAGGGCGGCACGGATATTCTCGTTATCTCCTGTCTCTAAGGAGACTGACAGAGCTCGCCTCATCCCTCCATGAGTCAGTCTGGAGAGATTTTTATGGCCCCACTGTCACCCCAACACGGTGGCAGAGTGTGTTTCCCAAGTACCTCATTTGGGCTGATAGAGATCTGGGATGTCAACAGACTGCATGGAATCCCCACCCAGCCAGGGTGTCCTGCTGGGTGGCCTTTCTGTCCAGCCTTCTGGGACAGGTCTGGGGCTTTTGAGTAAGAAAAGAGGGGAAGGAGCAAAAGGAATTGCAGTGCAGCACCTGCGGAAGTGGGGAAAAAAAATGCCCGGACGGGAAACCTGGGGTAGGGAGAGAGGGAAGAAGGGTAACAAATGGGCAGCTGCAAATAGAGGTTGCAAAAAATAAGCTGTAAAGGCTTGGTATTCCTCTGAAGCTGGGATACACTTCAAAGTGGCATATTCAATACACACTGTCCTTAGCACACTCTCCTCTGCCTTAATTAACACCGTGAGTGCATCAACTGACACATTCGAGAAGAATATTAAGGGACTGAAAACTGCCCCATAACTAAGACCTGGAGCACAGTTCAGAAGATGATTTTCATCATCTTTGCACATGTCCCTGTTGCCACTACACTGTAGAACCTCACCGCTTCTGCAAAGCGGGCGTCAGGCCCCCTGTGTCGTGGTTCAGACTCGCTCGTGCCATTGGCGTGACAGTCAGTTCATCCTTCAAGCCCTCCTCTGTGAAGCAGATGCTGCTGGGGGGTGGGGTATCTCCTGCTGGAATTTGCTGTCCTTCATCTTTCCCCTTTCCCTGGTGGAACTCATCTCTGACCAGGAGAGAGCAGGGAGGTGGAGACTGAAGTAAGAGCTCTGAGGAGGATGAAGGTGGGAGGAAGGTAGCGTGCCACCTTGCTCCAGGTCCAGCCTTGGAGGCTGCTCTCCCACCTACTCTCCCAGGAGACAGAGAAGTTGGTGGTCTGGATGAGAGAACTGGGAGAGCGCAGAGGAGCGGTAAACCGAGGGCAGCAAACCCAGTAAGGAATACACTGTAATAATAAGCTGGATAGCAGCATCAGGACTGGAGGGAAATTATGCTAAGAATTTGCATTATTTTGCGAACCTAACATATGCAAATAGATCCTCACACCTACCAGTTTGTTGATAAACCCTTTGCTCATGAGCAATCCAGCCAGGCCCTGCTCCCAAAGATGCCCCATCAAGGGCAAGGCCCCCTTTGCTCCAGGCGGTTTCGTGATGATAGGGTGTGCACCAAACCTCTGCATCACAGCTGCTTTAGGAAGCTTAACTCCATTTTGCAGCAGGTTTTGCTGGAATTCGAGGTGACGTGGATGGATCAAAAACTCAGCTGTCAATACGCTAAGCTTCATGTTAGTGCCACAGATAAACAGAAGCCCAGGCATGGATAGGAAGTGCTTCCAAACTTAACCTGTATCCTAAAAGGTGATTCCCTTGAAAACTCAGTGGCAAAACTCCCAATAATTTAAGTAAAGATGTAGCAGAGCAGGTTTGCATACTCCACTTGTGGCTGCTGCCTGGACTGGAGTGCATTCCTGTTTGTGGTTCTTGCAGTCAGTGGCTCTACATACGCTTGGTGTAGTTAGTCACTCCCTTCGGGGATACAACAAAACACAGGCTGTTCACGAAAAAGGGACAAACAAGATTAGGAATCCAAAAAAACCTCTCATGTGACAAAACTCTTTTCCGTAGTCAGAGGCAAGCGTACAGGCACCATGAAGGGACAAATAGCAGCAGCAGTGACAGCACCCAGCCCTTCATTGCCAACAAAATCAGACCTTTGACTCCTGAGCTACAGGAAAACTTCTAGGCATAGGTAAACAGAAAGTTAATAAAAGTTCCTCAAAATAAATTCCAGTGAGGGGGAAGGGAAAGAAAGGAAAAAAAAAAAAAAAGCAAGCAACTAGAGTAACAGTTTTATTACTGAAGTCCTAATTATAACTGTATTGAGAAGTCTATTTATATCCCAGATATATGCTGCAATTGCCTTCACAATTCAAACTGAAACAGGAACCCTGTTCAGGGTTCCTGAATCTTCATCTGTTTCAAAATTCAGGTAAGATTCCATCCGACAAGATAAAGTGGAACAATACTACACATGTCAACCTGACACAGACCTGTTTGCAATGTAGATATTTCTTCCATTGTATGTGTTTGACAGCATCTTATGCAAAGGTGTCTTTCCTACCTGAAAAAAAACAAAAACAAACAAAAAAACCTAAAACAACAAAAAGAATACGTAGTTAGTGATTTTGCTGTCCTGATTTAGGAGTTTGAGAACTAAAATGCTTTTATACATTCATAATAAATGTTTACATACGTATATATATGCATTTTTAAACAAGAAAAGCCTCAAAAAATATTTGCTCTGTGCATTGAATACTATTATTACTTTTTACTTACTGCTTCTCTGGTAATCTTGATAATACTACTGGTAATCCCCAGTCATACTGGGCTGTGCAGTGACTCCCATGTCACTGGACCACCCTGTTGTATCACATCCCAGAATGATTCAGGATACCTCATCCACCTGGGCACAGAGGGGTGGGTGAGGTGACTGCCCTTAATTTGTACCCTCACACTAATACAGTCCACGATCAAACTTCAATACAGCAAAAAACAGATCTCGGGCATTGCTGGCACCACTCTGGGCTGCAGCGCTGAGAACCATCCAGTGACACCAATGACACAACTGCTGCTTGCAGCGTAGTCACACTCCCTAAAAACAGAAGTGTGTGGACACATAGGAAACTCCTGTCCTTCACATCTTACTCTGATTTTTATTTAAAAAAAAAAAAGCAAACCCAAACCGCTCCGAGTGAATAATTTTCAAATCTGTTGATAAGCTTCACTAAAGTACAGACTGAATCTCATGAACCCAGGGAAAGAAATGAGGGAGGGACTTTTTTTTTCGTTAAGAAAACTGATGGTGGCATTCATCTTTTTATTAAAATTAATAGCATTTAAGAGTGGCTATGTCAATGCAAAGTATTTTTACAGCTATGTCTGTCAGTTTCCAAAATATTATAGAACATTTTTATACAGCTGCTTTGCATTTGGCTTTTAGTTTTAATGTTTTCTGTTCATTAAATCACAAAACTAATAAAAACTAAACGATCAGGATTTCTCCAGCAGTACAGAAACAGTCCTAATGCACAGCGGTATAATTTAATAAGCATGTCAATTGACTATTAAAATCCCCATTATGATCAGAACTGTAATTCCAAAGATGAGGTCTTCTGGAAGCTTAATTTACTGTGGTGGGAAGCGGCAGCTGCTCTAACTCGGCAAACTCAGCTTTTTTAACTCAGATGCCAGGGAAAACAGATGTAGATGGGATGATAACAAGAACAGCAATGATATCCACCACTGACAAGCAGGTTCATTTCTCATCACCAGAAGATTCAAGAAGGGGTTCTACAGATACATTAGCAGCAAAAGGGAGGCAGAGGAAAACTTGGACCCAATAGAGAACAAAACAGGGGGACCTAGTGACAAAGGACGCGGAAAAGGTCAAGGGACTCGATGTCTTCTCTGCCTTGGCTTTGCTGGCAGGGTCTGTTCTCGGGTTCCCTGTGCGGAGTAGCAGGGTCTGGGGCCACAGAGCACCACCCACACTGCAGAAGACTGAGCTGGAGACAACTGAAGCAAACTGGGCATTTTCCGGTCCATGGGACCACGTGGGAGCCAATGTGACTGCAAAGCTGCTCTTCTCCTGTGTCAGGAGAGGCTCCTGATGAATGGAAAAAGGCAAATGTCATACCTGTCTTCACAAATGGCAAGAAAAGGGATCTGGAGACCTCTGTCTCCAAAAAGATTATGAAGTAAACCCTCCTGGATTTGTTGCATCCACATACATCAAGGACAAGATGATTTGGAACAGCCAGCACAGATTTACCAAAGGTAAAATGGGCCTGGCCAAGCTCCTCACCCTCTGCGATGGAATAGCTCCATGGACTAGGGTAGGGCAACGTGCGTCTTGACCTTCAGAAGACTTTTGCCTCCTTGGGACAGGTGGATTGTAATATGGGTGGAAAATGGGCTGAACCACTGGGCTCAAAGGGCTGTGACCAGCAGTACAAGCGCAGTTGGTGACTAGTGTCGTCCCTCAGCATTTGGTAACAGAGTCCATGCTGCTTTATCTCTGTGTCACTAAGCTGGAGAAGAATGAGTCCTCAGGCAGCTGGCTGATGACACCAGGCAGAGGGACCTCAGCAGGCAGGTTGGCAGGAACCCCTGGAAGTTCAGCAAAGGCAGAGTGCTGTACCTGGCATGGAGTAACCCTGTGCCATGGGACAAGCTGGGTCCTGCCTGCCTGCAAAGCAGCTTTGCACGAAAGGACTTTACAGACGAGTTGAATACGAGCGAGCAGCGTGCGCCTGCGCTTTTCAGGGCTGACTGCATGGCTGGGCTGCATCGGCAAGAGTGTGGCCAGAGGGCCAAGGGAAGTGGTTCTTCCCCTCTAGGATGCAGTTTGTGAGAACACATCTGGACACTGCGTCTAGTTTTGGGCTCCCCAGCACAGACACTGACATCCTGGAGCGGATTCAGCAGAGAGCCACCAACATGAGGGGGCTGAGACACAGGATGCACAAGGAAAGGCTGAGAAAACAGCTCAACCTGAAGAAGAGAAGCTCCAGGGAGATCCTACAGCTGTCTTCAAGTACCTAATGGGGGGAGACAGAGAAGACAGCCAAACTCTTCTTGAAAGGTTACAGCAAAATTAAGAGACAATAGGCACAAACCACAGCAAGAAAAAACCTTGTTAGACATAGAGAGAAAATTCTGCAGAACGGGGATGGCCAAACACTGAAACAGCACTGCAGAGAGATTGTCAAATTTCTGCCCTTGGAGATATTCAAAACCTGACTGCTCATAGGCCTGAGTGACCTAATGTGACCTCAAGCTTGTCCCTGCTTTGGACCAGGAGACTGCAAGACATCTGTTCCAAAACAGATTATTCTGAGTTCAGGTATGGCGGTAGGAGCATCGCCCAACTGACCTACTACAATAACGAATGCATATCTGTACACAAATCTATTTTTACCCTCAAAATATCAGGACCATTTTTCTGTTGTTACTGTTTCCCTATCTCTGAAGCTTGGAGATGGGGCAACAGCTTTTTCATGCCTTAAAAAATTACAACAGAAAATCTGTCAACATTGCAAGCAAAAGCACAAACCAGCACTAGTTGGAAGATAAGCATTAGCTTAAGTATGTCTTGGGTGACAGAAGGAAAGACGTAGTATCATGGTCTGGGGATCTGTCAACATTGCAAGCAAAAGCACAAAACAGCACTAGTTGGAAGATCAGCATTAGCTTAAGTATGTCTTGGGTGACAGAAGGAAAGACGCAGTGTCATGGTCTGGGGATGGGGCAAGCAATGAGGTACATATGTGGAGTCAGAGTTTGGAGCAGCAAAGTCTGTGCTGAAATGCTGAAGTCTAAACTGCTGCTGCTGGAAGCAGAGCAAGACAGATTAAAGCTAGTTTAGGAACATGTGGAGGACACAACGCAATTCTAGTTTGTTGAGAGAGACAGGCTGCCACCAAGCTGATCAGTGTTGCCTTCCACAAAAGCAAAGTCCTGTCTCTCGTTCCTGGCCTCTGCTGAATTTCAAGCTTTGGGCAACCCCTACCCACCTCCTGAGGCACTGCAGCCTGGCTT